GATGAATAAACAGGGTGTTCCATTCAAAAAAACAAAACTATGAGGTATAACTAAATAAATACAGCCCATCCTGAAAATCTGACTATGCCACTCGATTCCACGTGAGAAACTATATGAGTGACAGGTTTCACTTTTCCAATAAGTTGAAAAATAGCTGATATACAGGGGAGTCCCAAAATGCAACAATTTCAATTTCACCCTTCATCTCGAAAACGAAGCAGGCTATGAAAATGTTGTTCGTGGTGTCGTGAGTTTTACAAAAAGGAAGCCAACGTTCGCTGAAACCGCGAAACTCTATCTTCAAAAATAAGTCAGATATTCCGTGAGGACATCGAAATTGGGACAGCCTGTACATAGCAGGTTCTTGCACCATGCCCTCCAATTCTTTCCAATTGTGAAAAACACAATTTTTTCAAATACCTGTATCTTCGTTATCCTAAATATTTTATGAGATCAATTTTTCGCAAAAAAACTCATTTTGGTGGAATATATATCCTGTTGGGAAAAAAACCTCACTTTCAGAATCACCCTGTATATGTGATAAAACTATGAGCCTTGCCAATTTTGCATGGTCTCAGAAGCTGGGATATTTTGATGACACTACTGATAATAATTTCCCATTAGCTGAACTGATTTTGCTTTCTGCGCACTAAACCTATTTTTTCCATAGTCTGCATCACTTGTGAACGAACCTGTGAAAGTGTTGTCGGTTGACCCTGTATAGATGAGGTTAACGAAAAAGCACTGAAATGGAGCATTCGAGTGATATTATAAATGGATGATCCAAAAGAACATGAATCTTTCATTACCGGCAATTAATCAAAGGAATCGTAAATTGTGTCAGGAGTAACGGGCAAAACGAAAACTTTTATTACTACAAATAAACAAGGAATCGTGAATGGGTATGCCAGTTGAGTTTCAGTAATGCAACTTTTATGGTTTCTAATTCTGGAACACTTTTGAACTTTGCTGTAGCTGGAATGTGAGACATAAGAACTAATGTTAATATTTTGATTGCATTTTATTGCATGGTATGACATCCAGATGAACTAGGGAACAAGGATTTCCTAATAGTCTTCAGGAAAAATATTGATGAAGCTTAAATAAACAACATACTGTTATTATTCTAGATTTTTTGTGATTTTCTCTCCTCGCTTCTATAAAATATAGGAAATAGGAATATTATTTCAAATCAGATGATTTTTCCCAAAATGTCACTGCGTTTATAGTATATTATGTAATATGTGTTGTAAAAAGCATATTACGCATGAATGGAAAAGTCAGAATTATAAATCTTGACAGTTATGTCATTCGCTGTTGACGGCGATTACGCGATCATGCCATACCTATATACTGGCGGAATAAACAAAAACTGTACGATGTGTAAAGAGCTATACTTACTGAGGCTGTATCTCGTGTGTTCTTGCCTACTTCCTAGCTATAGTGGCCATATAGGTATAAAAATGAATTTTCCTATCAGAGAGCCTGACAGAAAAATTCTCTAGCTTGTCAGTGACAATTTATATTGAAGAAGGTTTGGAAAAGAGGAATAAAGGTATATAGAAAATATATCAAATTTTCAATCAGCATTGGACGTTTCGGGAACGAATCTGCTCCCGCTTTAATGGACATTTGTATAGCAAATTCGTATTTGTCTTGACATTTCTCAGTTTTCAGTGACAAATTGAGACGTTGGCAATCAAATGAGTGACTGAATTTTTCAGGTGGTGTTGTGAGCTAAAATCTAATATTTTTCCCGTGTATAATGACATACAGTGTATAGCAAAAAAGTTACGACCGATTCAATAGGGATGGAACCCTGTATGTAGCGCCCTCTATCAGTCATCACGAAACTGAGGTCATATTTGAATTTAGCATGATGAAACACCCCTGTATACCACATTTCATCCATTTCTTGCGTCTCTGGCTAAAGATATTCAAAGAAAACCCCCAAAAAAATTTAAATTCATCACCCCGTATCTTTTAACCGAAGGCCTTGCGGACCCATGTTTATAGGAACTCTTTTTCTTATTGTGTGGCACTATGCAATATACTTTTTCTATGTCACCATGTATATCCGGGAAAAAAGTAATTTATGAAAAGTGACATTTTATAACATGCCAACAGAGATGAAATGTCAAACGTTTTTCCCGTCACAGAAGAAAATAAAGATTTTCGAAAGCTTTTGGCATAGCAATAATGATGTAGTTTGCCCGATTGACTGAACTCCCCGAGATTTCCTATTATATCATAATATAATACAGTCGATAAACTATTCAATAATCCTAATGTTAGGATTCTGTTTGCGCTTCTCTGATTGAAATAAATGATACTGGTTGATAACCATGGAGGAAAATGTATGATATATGATGGAAATAATGATAAATGGCACATCCGAACTGTGTACAGCCTACATTGATGGAATTCTCGGATAATGGGCAAGCGATGTTCTCATTCAGAACGTGCTGATGTATTAGGGCTGTCGATATCCGCCTGGGCACACAAGGCGGTTTGTGCTACCTCTAGGAATCAATTACCGGAGGCATTAAACAGTCAAATTCTAATTTCCATCTATTATTCTTGTTTCTGTTTGCACAACGATTGGAGTAACGATTGATAGTACAAACAAACATGCATCTATTTCATTAAGGAAGTGATTATTGTTCATTTGTTTTAGTACAGTGAACATGTGATGAGGCATGTATAACTAATCACATCTTCCACTATCCTTTCTTTGATGGATTGAATATGTTTCTCATCATTCAGATTACCTATAATTATTTGAACGCTGGTAAAAAAAAGTTAGAAAAGAGCCTTTATCATCTGAATAATCAAAAATGATAGAGGAGCTTTCTGAGGAACATTCTCCGTGGAAGTATCTATATATAACAAAGGGAAAGGTGTTCCAATGATGTAGAAGTGTTAGTGAGTGTGGCATCACCCACCAGGAGAATGGCTCTTCTCTGGATGAAATCTAAGAACATCTGAGTATGTTTGGGTGGTGAACCCAATATCTTCGCTTCGGTTGTGAAGTGTCCTAACCCACACGAGTGAGGTTTCGTCATTTTAAATATTATAGATGCAGAAAAAGTGCCTTTTTTCATCGTATTGGTACTATTGATATTATTTCAATGCCACATGATATGGAACTTGGTTTTGCTCTGTGTCAGATAAAATAATAAATTTAAAATTTGAAAATTGAAAAACTTTTTGACCCAAGACTTTTCACACTCAGTTTCGTTCAATGAAAGTGTATGTATTCGGAAATTGTGGCAATATCTGAAGGCATAATACTACGAGTATCATGGGATTGAGCTGGATTAATAGAGGGCAGTAAAGATGCAAATTTTCTTTTCTTGAATTTCTGAGTAGAGACGATTATAGTATGTCAAAGTTGCTACTTCTCTTCTATGCCATTAGGACTATCAACTGACATGTTTTGTTAGTTAGATCTCTTAGAAAATGTTATGAAATACTAGGTAATAACCTATTTGTGACTTAGAATTTTTGAGACATCAAAATTTAGTTCATTTAACCCTTCTTAATTGACCTAATTCGATTACCCAATTTTTCTGAGTGAAAACTATACATAACTTAAGCGACGATTATGTGAGAACAGTATTCTAGAACAGGTGATATCTGTGCTTTGTGAACCATGAGAAGCTGTTGAGGTGTAAAAAGTAGATTTTCGCACGGAATAGTTTTTGTGAAGCTTGTTTTGCGATGGATCTGACATGATTATCTGAACAGTGTAGACACAGTTGTCATCGTGTTAAATAGCTGAATAAAAAATATGAGACATTGATATGTTTTGAGGGCATTTAGCCAGGAAAGTAGTTATTTTCTATTGAATCAACTGAGAAAGAGTAAATATTCTCATCACATAGAGAATGCGAATTCTTAATGTATTCTTTATATAAATATATATCCATTTTTGTATGTTCATAATTTATCTGAGAATATTCCTTTTCAAGACAAATTATTATTTGGAACCTTAACATTGGCGTATAATTCCAAAGTCACATAATTCTCATTGTGTCAATATCAGGTCAATGAATGTATTTTCATGAAATGAATATTGAAATTTGGAGCTTTAACGAACATTTCGAATTGTTGTCGCGTCTATATCATTCTTAGAATTTTTCAATGCGTTACCGAACAGGATATATTCAAAAACCTTTACGTGGGGACGGACGCCTATTAAGTTTTCAGAACTGAAGTTTCAAATCTGAAAATAATGACAATTCAGAAATGTCAAGGGTGACAAGCGTGTCCACACTCTATGAAGGGAAAAAATGAGATATTCCAGGCACTCTTACCAGAGCTATCAGGCGTTCCAAAATTTGTAGTTTATTTGAATTAACTTTTTTTGTGAGGCAGGCCTATTGCTCATACTGGAAACTTCATTCTCGTAGGAAATCGCTATCATTCCGTGCTCGTTAAACAATATACTATAAATGTAGTAGCAACCGTAGTTACTCTATATTTCTAAATATCGGAGTGGCTGATTGTTACCAAATATCAACGACCTCAGTAACTATGGTGATCCAGATCATGATTGTCATCGGCAACCGAAAATCTTGGTGTGTTATGACAAGTAACTTAGTAAAACAAAAATAAAAAGATATTAGTCAAACACGCCACACCGATTGAAAGACGTTTATCGCGATGGAACAAATCAAAAAGGCAGCTCGAGAAGCTGAAGGCCAATTATTGCCAAGAAAAGCTGGAAAACAATATAAAAAATAGTTTTCTGAGTCCATCAAATGGTGCAAAGAACGCGACGTTGAAAAATATACAGAGAGAAAGGTACTGCTATAGCATATTTCTTGGAAAAGTCAAAAAAGTTTGAAGCTTCATCATTGTGAAGCGTTTATTCGATAATAAAAGGCACGATTGCAACAGACATTTGAGTAAAACATTTCTAAATTCAGCGTCTATTGCAAGTAAATTTAATTTTTTCCTCAAAAATATTGAGAATAAAGGTAATGTCTGGTAAAATTCTTAAAAAAACATCCAATGTCGCTTACGCTGCATTGCGTTTCTGGAAGTCAATCATAAAATCAATGAGTCTATTCACTTCCTGCACAGTGATGGAATTGAAAAGGCTGACTCTGATGCCACCGACGAGATGATGACCTTTCAGTTGAAGCATATTTCTTTCTTCGGCTTCTCTGAGGAACTGATTCTCCAATTCTTCATCTCCGTTAGATTTCCCGATACGGAAAGGAATATTTATCCTGCTTCGCGCATTTTTTCCGACGGGAGAAAAGTAGAAAGTGTTATGGAGCTCCAATGTATTGTAGACCAGGCTGCTCTTTTGTTCACTAAGAGTTTCCATTACCGTCAGACCACCGCTTTTTCTGATCCAACGAAAAACTTTATCCATAACATATATTCTGTAAAGAATAAGAGTGTCATGGAAACGGGTGTTCATGAAGAATTGTGGTCGTCATATTTGTAGTTCGGCGGCAGAAATCTGAAATAATTGCGCATTTAATAACAGGAACATGAAATTTGGACCTCGTATACTTCATATACTGTGTGTCCCGAAATCAGCCTGCCAAACTTTAATAGCGGCTTGTATGAGCAAAAATAGAGAGGAAGGTTTCAAAAAACATGAGTCCGAAAATGTATGCTAGGGGAGCTACGGCCCCCTGATGGAAGAGGGCTCCTGAAAATGATATTTCTTGAATATTTCCGAAACGTTATTGATGAGATGTTGCAACTTGGTACATAAACTAAACTCTCCATGCCCAATGCAGTGAAACTAGAACTATTTCAATATTCCATGCAAGAGTGTATAATACAGGGTGGGACTACATTAACTATTGCTTCATTCAATCTTGGATTATCAAAACCCTAGAATGTAAGAAAGCAACAGGACAAATGTTAAGACAGAGATCTCATTAATTTCTTCAAATATTGTATAGTGTTAATTCTTCGTATATAATTTTTACTTTTCCCAACTTATTTAATATGGCTTTGTCTACGAGATTTTCATCTTTCGACAATGAATAAAATTTCGATGAGATCGATCAGATGTATAATTCTCTAGTTGAATCGATTCAGAATATATTGTAACATCTCAAATTCTGTATGCATAACATAACACACAACGTCCTAGGGACGTCCCTATTTGGAACAATTCACGTCCGAATGTCCCGAACCAAAATAAGTGTCCTTGGGACGTCCCATCCCGTACATCTCATGCAATGTCCGACCAAGGACGTCCACGGAATGTCCCATCTGGTACATCATTTCAAATGTCCTGGAATTAGCATCCCTCAGACGTCCCACGTGGTACATATTGTAGAATGTCCATGCAAGGACGTCCTTGGCATGTCTCTGATGGGATATGATTTTGAACGTTCCTTTAGGGACATCCATCGGATGTCCCGAGTAGTACATATTCTGGCATGACTTCAGATCTTATATAATGCCATTTCTAGACAACCATGAAATGTCTCTGATGGTACATTCCTTCAAAAATCTCTGCACAGACGCCCTTTATATTTCTAGGATCGAATAAAAATCGAAATGTCCTTCAGGGACATCCTTCGAATGTCCCTTAGGGATATCCGCCGGATGTCCCAATTGGTACATGAACTGTACTTTCAATATGTTGTCCCTGCGAGGACGTTAACTTACACCTCGCCGACGGATGATTGCTCGTAGGCTATAAGTACTCCTCGTCAATGTCCTTCACGTAAGTCCATTGGACATCCTTGAGAAACTTTTTGGGGACCATCTACGGACCATCATCTCAACTGGATGTTCTAATCAGTTATGCAAGATCTGGTCCTAGAGGGACCCAGAAAAATTCAAATTCGAGAATAATTCGTACGTCCCTGGGACATCCAATGGACATCCAATTGATATCCTTCAGCGTTGCTGATAGGTTGTCCTATAGATGTACTGAGGATGTCCTCTGTAGTGCTTGATGAGGAATACTGTAGGATTTAGGCAGTCGATAGTTGTTCCAGGGACATCCCTCAAGGACGTCCCTAGTTGGTCCTCAAGTGGGATATTTGTGCGTCCCACAGACGTCCAATGGACGTCCACGGTACTAAATTCGAACGTCCTATGGACGTCCTCAATGTCCCGACAGGACGTCCTAAGGATATCCATAGGACATAGGTGTGCTATTAGGAAATAACATTGCAATATATCGTGAAGGCTATTAAAAAAAATGCACAAAAAATGTGTGTAAATAAGTATTGTTTTTATCATCAATTTCCAATTTTTCGCTCCTCTATGAAATTGTTCGATGAAAAGAAAGTACTTGTTTTTCTCATAGCTACTGTGATTTGAAAATTGGCAACGTTATGTATAATATGTGAGATGTAACAATATTTTGAAATCGATTTCAATCGAAAATAATTCACATCTGAGCGAACACCAATTCCTACCTAATTCCCCTTGGTTCTCACGATGTTCTCTGAACATTACAGGATATCCCTTCTCGTGGGAACCAGAACATACAAAAAATACGGAGCAGGGGCATCACCTCTTTATTTGTGATGAGGTGTGCATTTTTATAATTCGAGATCAAATTGTCGAACAACATCATGCATATAATAAAGTTTGAGCAATATTGTAAGTAGTCTTACCCTGTATAATACATTCCTGAACAAAATTTAGGGATGATTTTATTTTCGCTACATTTAAAGGTCATATAGATAGTCTAGTTCTTGTATTGAATTGCTTCATTTTATCACATGACGTTTCGGAAATATTTAAGAAATGTCATCTTCAGGAGCCCTATTTTAGGCGACCGCAGCTCTCCCAGGAATCATTTATCGAGTTATATACTTTTCAACCTATTTTTGAACTGGAAGCCGCTGGTGAAGTTTGGCATGCTTATTTCGGAACACCCTGTATAAAGGTTCGAAATTGAATACAAGCACTTCTCAGGTTTTGCCCTTGACAGTGATGGCGGATATTCAGAATGGCTGCCTTTAAATTATCGCAGATGATGTTGAGTGTATAGTAGTGGCAACTAATTGTTGTTTGGTGCATGATAAATCTTAGTTTTGGAAAACTGTATCCTTTGAGGAAATTGACCGATCATTCTAATGAATGTTGTCGAGATGACTCTGGGTTTTCATCTATGGATTCTTATATTTATTATTGTTTGGAGAATAACTCTTCATTTTTGTTCATGTGTGTAAGCATTCTATGTTTTGTTATGATTTTCATGCATAAATATTCTTTTTTCTCTCATTTTCTTATAGCGTTATAAATAATTATGAAACCTATTTCCAATATATCCATGTTTTTCCAATATTTCCATAGGTATATTTCCAATAATTCCTAAAATATATTTCTGGATATTATAATACTACAATAGGCACAACGCTTAAATTATAATTCAACTCACGAGAAAATAGGTGGGGTATTCAAAATAGAATCCATTTTATTAAGAATTGTGAAATCTAGTATCGAAGGACAATATTCTGTTGCATTCCCCAGTAAATCCTCACGGACTATAAGCACAGCCACACTAGCTGGTCCTAGGTTTTTCTGAGAGGCTGCGAAAATTACACCAAACTGAAATTCAGAAAAATTATATATGTAGTTCGATGATATTCAATATACAGCATGTCTCACTTCGAACGCCCCGCTCTATATCTCAGCTTGTGCGATTTTCGCAAAATTTATGCGAATCGCAAAATATTGAATTCCCAACAGATTTCGATGTTCATACTCATGCGAAAAAATTTGAAGGCGAGAAGGGATCTATTGTCATTTATATTTTCTTTATTTCTGGTCCCACCATCGATAGGAGTTCATCAAATTGAAGGCATGTTACATGAAGTAATTGAAATATTAATTGGGGTCATTTAGTGATATTTATCGAACGAGACCGTAATGATAATCTCTTTCGGCATTTAAAAATTCATTTCGTAATAGCATTGGAAATTTCATGTTGGGATCATTGATATTTTGTATATATCGCTACTTCAAAGTTGGGAACTCTCCAGAAGTCGACACTTATTGTGCGGGTTTATGAAGAGCGTGACCTACAGCTTATAGTTGAATCCGAACCACTTCTAGGGCATCGAGGTGCTGCCAGGATTCCAACCATTAATCACACATTTCGAAGAAAAATGCTCAGCCGATAGCCGGATTTGAACCGACAGTCTCTTCGCATCGTGAACGGCTATCTAGCGTATGTATAATTCGATATCACAGCTGGATAGGTGAATGTACTTGAAGACAGTTGAAGAACATAGATTCCCATGACTTTGAAATTGAATTTTTGATAGGATTACCTCATGAACTACCACTTCCAACCACCAGCGTTTTACTGAGGCAACCTTCCTTCACAAACATTCATCAAGTCTAGCAACCTTGTAGAAATAGACATGACTGTTCGATTGTGACGAACACTAGGTCAATGACGAATACTGGAGCTTTTACCTTTTTGTCCATGGAAATTTACTGACTGGCCATAGAAGTTATCACTTCCGACGTGTGGTCATATATGCACACAATTTTTTTTTTTCAAACCATAACTTCATACTTTCGAGGCAGGAATTGGAAAAAATCGAGCCAATCTTGTTAATTCGACATGAGGTGATTTTTCTCATATGGATGAGGTTCGGAAGCATGGGGAACAATAATATGAAATTAGTTTTCTTGAAGACAAATTCTCAATGTGAAAAGGAATATTCTCACAGATTTATTATGATGTATGATTTTATCAAAAATCTATACCTCTTTTTATTTCAATAAGAACCCACTACAATGTCCAAAATTATATTCGTCTCTGAAAAACTGAACATATCGAATGTAATTCATACGACCGGTTACGAATCGCACAACTTATAGCTGAGATATATGGGGGTAGGGGGAGACATTTAAAGTTGGACACGCTATACATATAATTTATGATAAACTGCGAAGGGCGATAGTACTACTCATTTTCTGGGTTGCAATTTGAATTATATCAACAATCAAAATTCTGTACAGAACAATAATTTTATCAAGATATATATGTATATGTTCCATGATCTGGTTGACTTGACGGTTGACAGCAGACAATTTTACTGTTCAGTGCTTCCGCACATGTGATTCTTTTCTTGGTTATTTCCGAAGCCACATCTTTCTTATCACAAAAGATTGATATTTTCAAGTTTAATTACCACTTATCGGTGATTTAAGGGTACCGTGGGCCCTTATTAAATATGTTCCCGACCCCCAACCTTCAACTTTATTAAAATTTTTTAAAAAACATTTTTATCATATAAACAGTAAGTTTCACTTATATTGATATTTTTTCAAAAATTTTCACTGTTCCTTTTCCAGATCATGGAGCAATGGCTTTTGCTTGCTCCGTTATCGCTCATTGTATACATATTGCAACATTTTTCACTTCCATGTAAGTAAAATATTATTGTATCATACCATAGGTCAAATCTGTCCTTTTTTAGAACTTTACATTTTCTTGGCTGATGATGGGCTTATATAAGCCCGAAACATGTTCCCTTATATGATCTATGATCATTAAATAAAAGTTGTGGGGATGACTTTGGGTTTTCATCTATGATATATATGTAGGTATATTAATATCGTGATAAGAATTTTAGAGCGTGAATAATAATTGAATAAATGAAGTTGAATATTTCCATAATAAACCAAACTCTCAGAAGCTAAGTTTCGGGCGACGAAGAAATTATAACTTTTCCCAATATACCTATTCGAATCCGTGTTCGAGAGATATCGATCGTTCGGCGAAATTTATTTATACAGGATAGTATGTATTTCTTTTCCGAAGTATCAGTTTCTGAATAAATCAAGCCCAGTGTATGCAGGCTGTTCCACTGAAGAAATACTCTTTTGAATCCATTTCTTATCGATATTCATTTTTTGAAAAGTCGTCATTTCCAAACACCATGTATTTTATAATGAATACTTGGCTCTGAGCGTGACCTATTTTTCAACCTTGTTCATGGAAATATTGAAACTCATTTTGATTGGAAATGTCTTCAATTATCATCTCCAGAATGGATTTTTATGTTTGAGAAAATAGCGAACAAAGTATGAGCGACGTAGTTTCGGAATACGAAAAAACGTGATTAATTAATTTGCAGTAACTGCCACTATCGTTCATAATACTCCCTGTTGATGAGATATATCTCAGTACAAATTCTCAGAATGAAACACTACCTACTCCTAATACTTCAAATTCCAAGAACACTCTAGATTTCATACCTTCGAAACATCCAGCTTCTTGGTTAACAAGTTTGAACTCATATCTGCTACCAGGGGTATGTCTTCGGTTTCGGGAATGAATGGAAATTCAACACCTGAAATATTGATTAAATATTATATTGAAATCATTTTGGTATTTGCAGATGGAATCAATGTCATGTTTCTGCAAAAAAATACAATACGAAACCATACCCGAAGAAAAAATAGTACGCCGTTGAATTCTCACTTATAATATAACGAGAGCTTCAAATATTTTCGGAAATGTTTTCGAGAGCACGAATGTTCAAAATATTCGTGATCGAGTGAAAACTGTGTTGAAAACCGAAAATACAATCTAAACTAGTTGAACATATCCTAACTGAAGATGGACAACATATGGCAGAGTGGAATAATATTAAATTCATTGAAAAGGAGATAACAACCAGAAGAGAAAAATCAAGGAATCTGCTAGCATTCTTCTGAACTGTGACAATAGCATTGCTTTCAGTTCAGTTGATATAGGTATAACATGGTATTCACAACTGAAATCTGAAAATAAAAATGGTGAATTCAAGATTAATTAGCAAATTCTTTAAACGCAGTGACATCTTGGAGCAAATCATCTGATTTGTGCTAACTACACGTATATTTACTGACTATACTTTTTACAAGGAATTTTTCATTCAATGAACATGTCAAGTGCTTTAGCAGGGAGTGCTATAGAAAACTAGGTTTTATAATGAGATCCAGCACGGATTTTCAGTATCAAACTTGCATAATGCTTTTTAACTCATATATCAGATCAAAGTTGGAGTACTGTTTGTATTATATGGAATCCTGAAACAGAATTATATTCTTATATGCTTCAAAAGATTCAGAAGAAACTTCTGAGATCTATGCATTTGAAAAAATATGGTGTATATCCAATGAGAGTATCATATATGAACACCAAAGGATTGACTTCAACATAGAGACTTTGAGTATACGGCGTGAGAAAATTCAGATCTTGTTTATCTTTGATATCTTACATGATCTGATTAATGTACCTGACTTATTGATGAATATTCACATAAATTTACCTGATATAAGGCTGAGATCCAAAATTACTGTTTTCAAAATATGTACTGTGAGTTCTCCTATCAACAGCTGCTCAACAGCCTTCAACAACTTTTTAAAAACATGTGAAATTGATATCTGGAATATCTCCAGAACTTCACTTCTGTCTCACCTGTGATATATTCAAGTCAACTATTTTAATATTTTTTATTGCTTTTGTTATTTTAATATGTAATGTTAAACTAGGTAAAACTAATTGTGATGTGACTTGAGAGTCTCTCAAATGTATAATGTATACTTATGGTTTTTAGTTTTAGCTTTAGTTAATTCTATTCTCTCTACATCCCTAACTGATACATGTTATTAGACACAGTCTGTTTGTTATCAATATAAATAAATAAATGGATAAATAAATGAATAAATAAATATTGAAATATTGTTTATATTTTTAGTTTTCAAAGACGAGGAGAGAAAATCACAAAAAATCTGGAATAATGAAAGCTTAGGTGCAAGAACCGCATCATTTCATCATATAATTCAGGGGGCCGTAGCTCCCATGCATAGGAGATATTCATCGACTCATATTCATTGGCATTTTCTTCCTATTTTTGGTCGAGGAAACCACAGGTGGAGTTTGTCAGCCTAATTTCGGGACACCCTGTACACAACATCCAAGAACACCCTGAACACCCTTTGTTCTCTGATACTAACCGTCAATAGTGTCATTATCACAATAGAAGACATACGAAGCATCCGAGTTCAACTTCCAGGTTTTTGGATCAGGGATGCCCCCTGGGATCCTAGCATTGACGATATTCACTTGCCCGTACTTTTTGGCTTCATTGGCTGCTACTGAAGACCACGTGCCGGTTACTAAGTAATCGGCTTTTCCGGTTCGGCTCATGAGGTTCATGGGGATCGCCGAAAATGCACCTTGACCCCCTCCATGCATAAAGAGGATTTTGTAGTTGACTGGAACATTTCTAGAAGAGATAACAACTGGTATGCTGAAGTGAGATATACATTAGATTAGATTTGGGATGGGGCCTTCGGGCTATCTGCCTCCACACTGCGACCTTTTCAGATCTATTGTGCCTGCCCTCAAAATGGATTAGAGCTCTTCGGCTAGCCCCGCCTTCTCTATGAGACTCCATAGGCTAGCTTTCAGATCTCCTGTGTATCTCTGGGCTCCTGGTTTTTCATCACCCAGCGTGAGGAACCTTAGTCTTGACAAGCCCTCACAGTGGCAAAGTATGTGTACTGCTGTTTCTTCCTTTTCTTGACAGAATCTGCACAGCAGTTCTTCAGGCAGACCTATCGTACTCATGTGTTTGTTGAGCCTACGGCCTACAATGCCCTGTGAGAAGTCCCACTAGTATTCTAGTTGAACTTCGTTTCTGACTTAGTAGATATTCTGTGAATGTTGGCGATGGTTTTTTAATAAACTCTTTTGCCTGTCTCATTCCTGGTGAGTTCTTCCACCATTATTGAGATTTAGTTTACATCCATGATTTGATACTAGTTTTCTGTATAGCTTTCGCAATACCACAGAAGGGTTCTGGGCCATTAAGAGCTTAAGAGATATACATACAAGGTGTCCCTCTTTTAGAGCGGAAGAATAACTTTGCACTTTTTATAGGTTAAATAGTTATTCATTATACAAGAGAAAAAAGTAGTAGATTTTAGCTCCAGGTTGTGTTGTCTCCCGACGCGTAGCGCAGGGAGCCAATAAACCGTGAGCTAAAATCGAATATTTTTCCCGTGTATAGTACACTATTTTTTTCTGTGACAGAAGAAAGGACGAATCAATATCGAGAAGATATTACATTATTTTAAAATATGGAAATTATCGACGTGAAATTTTGAGTTTTTAACAGTAGGGACACCTGCGTTGTAGGCATCTTTATCATTCTTTTGAAGTAATCAAATATCTGATGTCCCTTCTGTCAGTCTGATTCTGTGGTTTGATTTAAAAAAATTGCGAATTTAGTGGTTGTGAATATACGTAACCTCGAAGTCGAATGGAAGATAAAAGGACTTGCAGTTCTTTCTCGGAGACGGTATTATTGACTCATTTTTCGGAACTATAGCATAACAAAAGCCATGAACAGTGTATATATATATCTATGTGATAGGGTGTCCCAAAATTGCTGGCACACAGAGCTACCACGTGTAGAGGAGGTCAAAATAAGTTGATTGGACCCGATTTATTTATGTGTCAAAATGTACCGTTTGTCCGTGAGAAGGGTCCAAAGTTCACTTGAAAAAACACATTTTTGTACGCTGTTCAGGAATGAGTGGAACGAATTTGATGAAAGTTGGCAATAGTCTATTTCAGACGATTACTTTCCTTTTGGTAATCTAAGAAACCTAAAAGAAATTGTAGAAGGGTTGAAACCACCCTCACCCCCTGACGTTTTCTTCAGAACTTTTTTAAGGGTCATGATACGGTTCTGAAATTCTTTGAGCTTGAAGACTCATCAATTACCTTCATTTTATCACTCTTGTAAAAATCTCGTATACCAAATAGTTTCGAAGAAAAAAATGTTCTCTCAAATAATGCTATCAGATATTCCTATAGTAATGGTACCCGCGGTAATAACAAAATTGAAGAATTTATTGAAACATTTACAGACAACGTCAACAACAAACTTGAATGACAATAAATTTGTTTCCTGTCGAAATCACGACTTGCCTGCGTTTCCACTGCCAACTAAGTTTTATATCACAATTTAATTAAACTTGTACTATATATCCGAGAAAAAAGTACTCACTTTTTTCCCACGGGAAAGAAGTAATTTATGAAAAGTGACATTTTATTACCTGCCAACAGAGATTAAATGCCAAACGTTTTTCCCGTCACAGAAAAAAAAATTATTTTCGTATGTAATAGCACAGAATACCCAACGTACAAACTGTCAGATGACCGATCCTGGAGACAAAACAATATTCGTTTAATGAAACATTTATTTTTTGGCAATTCTAATGAAATATTTCAGTCTTATGAAAAAACATTTGTTATTAGTATAGAAATCTCACGAAATAATTGGCACATGATGAACATGCAATTAAATTAGCAGTATTTTCTGTATATTTATATAATAATTATTCATGATATAAGTGCTAAAAGTGACATTTTATTTTGTGAGAAGGGAAGTTTGGGACACGACGCCAAAGGCGGAGTGTTCCATCCCTTCGAACAAAAGAAAAAACACTTTTAGCACATATATCATACACTATTTGTTCCACAAACACCATTAAAAGTCCAAATTAACGCATAACTATTTTACATTATACTTATTAATTATTGATTAAATAACAGCCTCGAGATTATCAGTTTTGAATCCAATTAAATCTAATCTATTCATGTAACAAGTTACCAAGGTAAACAAAAACTGAATTTTTTGATTTATCTTTCTTGACATCTAACGTCAATAAATCACGAATTATTTTTTCTCGTTTCTTCGTTCCTCGATGGAAAGTGCCCAAGAAAATGAATTTCTTCCGCCGCAAATTGAAGAAGCTGCCAATTAAGCTGTTTCTGAATTATTGCCTAGTAAGTCAAAGCGACAGTACGAGTTTTCATACGTACGTTTCTTGAAATGGTGTGATCAGAAAAATGTCAGTGGAAAGGAGGCCAGTGAAAAAGTGCTTCTTGCATACTTTGAAGAAAAGTCCAAAATATGGAAATCGACAACGCTTTGGTCGAATTACTCTATGTCAAAGTCGATGATGAACATACATGATCATGATAGCTTGTGGATTTTTTAACGAAAACCCACAATAACATCAACAAAAATTATTTACAATTTTTTGTTTTCGTGATAATTTTTATGTTAATGATAGAGAAACTCTGTTACATTTAAATTATGTTTTGTCAAATTCGTTACTGAACCAATTCTGTTAATAATATCAAGTATTATTTCTTTGTGTTGTTATTGACTTCCTAGCATAGTCTTTTCAAAATAAATTGGAGAAGCTCCTCGGTTCGTTTGATGTTCGTTTCCGTGCAGTCCGAGGCTTTCCAACTGACTTTGGATGGACTAAACTCGTTGAAATTTCAGATAATGAATACTTACAACAATTCTCTCAATGTACTTTGGGCACTACTATTGATTTTAGCATATTCCTCACTTCTATGACTTATTTCGACAATACCCATACCTTCATTCTGATATGATAGGAATTCTTTCTGGACATCTAGAAGAACCTAAAATGAATTCGATTTCAAAGATTATTAGGATGGAACCATTCCTATTTGTGATACGCTACTGCGTGTGAAATATGTGAGAATCAAGCATGCGCAGATATACAGTTACTCGCTGTTGCCAGAGCCAATATATTTGTACTAGATCCAATACAACTTGCACTCATTGGTATACATTTCTGACTATTCTAATACCATTTCTCGTTTTGTACAGGGTCATTCCGTATATTCAAACAGCTTCTACAGGGTCCATAATTTGGGATTGAAGAACATTTCAAATACAAAAGTTGTACGGGTAGGGTTGTAGGGTTATTTGTTCTGAACCTCCAGAAAATTGTACGGGGCGAAACAAATGAATATCGCTGATATAATAAATGGGTTACAACGTTATTTTTGATTCACCACCCTTCCCATCATCAGTAAAAAAACCCTTCAAGTTAAATTCGTAGAGAATGATTTTAGATTTGAAATACTCTGTACTTCTCGCAGATTATCTCCTTTGAAACTGATTCTAGATTGCATTTCCACTAATCCCGTATTGAATTCATTTCATATTCCTGGAATTTCAATAAAATATCAATTCAGATCACTCAATTCACAAACAATTGAAAATAACCACATACTAGTGTTAACTGACACTAGCCAACTCGAATGTCCCACTTTTGTCGATAAAATTGTCACTCTATCATATTTCATTTCAATCTATATATACGATGAAATATCAATCTAGTCTATATACTGGATAGTGAAAGAAGTGATAATGATGAAGTGTCGATAATATTATGAGCTTATTTACTATGCCCGCGTTGTGAAAGATTTTTTCAACATTTCAACGTATTATCGTATATCTTAGTTTTTCCCGTTTTTTCTGATTCGAATCATTATTTCCAACGACTTATGAAACGAATGAAATCTTTATATTTAGTTTGTGATTGTTATTGCTATGGAACTCGAATTGTTTGTTTGTTCTCTTCTAAAGGGAAACCGTTGCCAAAACAGAATATATTCATTATAACTCTGTATATGATGTGTCGAAACTTTTCGTAACCTATTTTCCCAACTCATTCTTTCGACATTCATATCGTGAATCAGTACAACATTTCCTGGCTTTTGGCTCTTTCTTTCGATTCGAGTTTCTCTGATTGCCTGGGAATCTTTTCAGTAGCAAGCGAACTCAATCTGAACAGTTGAATCTGATTATGTAATAGAATACCGGGAGTTCCATTTGAAATAACGTAATTGTAGTCCACTTCTTGTATAAGCCGAAGTGATAGGAGTTTCCAAATATTTTGAGCAAAAGTAGTTTACAATTTAACTTATTAAAAAATTGCTCAATTTAGTGTTCTGATTCGGCTATCAACCTTTTCCATGAATCAGCATGTATGTAATCCAATACCTACTGTTTTACTAAGCACAAGTTAGTTGAGGTTTCCAGTATAATATAATATGTTCGGTCTGGCAACGCTGTACATTTCCAACAAAAATGCAGATTTGGGGACGGTATATTTGAATAAATAGTAAGTAGTTATAGATTATTCGTGTACTTGCTTCTTTCGGTAATTTTGCTGGTCCTGCACCAAAATTGATCACATTGATTTCTGAAGACATTGTCACCTCAACTTCATCAATTCTTGAATGCTTGTAATCAATCGTTCCGAAGAGACAACTGTCTGTGTGAATTAGGTGATTACCTACTCATACAATTATCATAGGCGTTGTTATGGGGTAATTAACTCAACAAAATTAGCGCATCGCTGATATTGATCATGCATCATACTATATATACCTAGCATCAATATGATCTTGATGCGTTTTTGAATCCTTCTATGTTTTTTAGTTTTAGATTCAGTAAATGATTATGTTTTATATAGTATCATTTGAAACGTTTCGCCTATGGCCATAGGCTCTTTCAATATTTATATATTACATAAAATTTACTGGTCTGGAAAAAAATGGAGAAGATAGAGTCTCATGCTGTGTACATTTTATAATTTTTGTAGGCCTATCAGTATAGGCAGAAATTATTTGTTACGTACAGTCGTGAAATGATAGCATTCTTAATAAATCCTACAATAATAAGAGCGATGACATCGTCACATGATCTCTGAAGACGATTGTACCTCTACCAGAGCTATTTCTATGGTAGCATTTTTTTGTTTTGAATTCTTCCTTTTTGTTCAGAATAAATAACTCGTTTTCTTTCGTTACCTTCTTAATTGGAAATTAAGGAATGCATATGTTATTTTTTCCCTGTAATTTGTGTATTGTTGGTTGGATGTGTGACATTCAATCTCTGGAAGATAAAAGGACTTTCAGTTCTTTCTCGGAGACGGTGTAATTGGCTTATCTTTCGGAAATATATAGCACAACAAAATCCATCAACAGTGTATATAATATAATATGTGATCTTTTTTATGGAAGGGAAGTCGTTGCTGACCAGGAGGAATGAAACCAGTGTATATTGGGGGTAGAAGCAGTGTAAAAGGAATACTCTTTAGAGTTTATCCAAGCTTTAGGAAATGTTAATTTCCATAATCAGGAATACTACAATGATTAAGGAGTGTAAATACATTGGGAAACAACGTTGTAACGAACCTCACCAAAGATGTAAGTACAAGGCATGGCCATAGTGTTTCCCAATGTATTTACACTCCTTAATCATTGTAGTATTCCTGATGATGGAAATAAACATTTCCGAAAGCTTGGATAAACTTCAAAGAGTATTTCTTTTACACTGATGCTACCTCCAATATACACTGGTTCCATAATATGTGATATATATTAGCTTAAAAAATACTCACCCTTCTTTCGTGGGAAGAAAGTGAATAATTAGAAGTGGCATTTTTTCAACTTGTCAACAGAGATGATTTTTTTTCCGTCACAAAAAATAAAACAGTGTCCTCCTTCTGCATGATTACTCCTTTGGATACCTATCACATACAAATCTAATTTTGATTGAAATCACAAAATGAAATAACTGCAAGTCGATTCTCATTCATTTCCACATATACAAATCAGTTGGTAACTGGTATAGATAATCCCATTTGGCTTTCTGATGATTTATGATTTTCGTGAAGAGATATTCAAGAAGCTTTCAATTCGAAAAACTCCACGAACGTTAAGGTTTTCGAGCATTTCTTGATAACATAGCATGTTTCGTTAACACCGCAGCATCTCATACTTATAAGTGACAATCTCATCTTTTGTGAAGTTTTTTCACATTTTCTATGGATAACCATCAAGTAAGGGCCAAGTCAATATCAAATGAGACAAAATCAATAGGATACATCTAACGCTACTAAAATGAGCTCTCATTTCCAGTTTAGGATGTCCAATCGGTACACATTATATATACGAAAGCTGCATCTGTCCGAAATCGAATTTCGGGTTTTCCGGTAGGTACTTGTATAGTGACCACTTACCTATAAGTTGAAGAAGTAGTCGATGAAGGCATCAGATTTATTGGATCGTCGTAGAAGATACAAAAGTACTTATATTTACTTCGTACCACACTGACGCCACGTATATTTAGTTCAAATCAGTAATCATTGATATAAAGTTCATCAACTTTATTGTTATTCAGATAAGGGGTTCAAAATTTCATAAGTTCCAAGTATGGCCTGTTATTATAATAAAACAATAGATTTTTATCCTAAAAAATGGTGAATACATTATTTATCACTCTCCCAGATCATGATGGTGATAATGTTAAATTGTAAATATCAAATTATACAAAGAGGAACTTCATATTCGTATCTCGGTTATATGAAGCGTTTTAGGTGAAAAGTTTGTGAGAATGACCCGAATAATTATTCTTTCCAAGTTTCATTCGGATTTTCCATTTGGTGTCGAAAAACTGCGCTTCCTATAGCAACTTGAATTATGATTTCATTCATACAGATTTTCGTTATGAAGTATTGCATACATTTATTTTCACCCAAATTATTTTATTCCGAGGACTCTCCTGCAATGGGTCAATTTCAAATCTGAATTTGCCACATTTATATGAGAAAATCAAATATACAGGGTGATCCACGTTTCTGTAATGATATCTGCAACAATTTTCTCAAACTATTAGGTATTCAATTTTTCGAATCCCCATTGAAGGTAAATTCAGTAATAATATACAGAAATTGTGCGTCTGTTAGAACTCAGTGTTCTCGTAACGTAGTGGATGAATTCGTTCTTTCAAACCTACAAGAAATGACGTCATCGGGTTCGTTTAATCCTAATCCAAAATTTCGATACGATTTCATCTATACACCTTTTTGGGAGTGATGAATTTAGCGGACATACTGTACACAAACTCTATGATCACATGATATACTTCCAAATTCAAATGCTCATCAGGATTCCTGAAGGTAAATATTTTGGATGTTACATTTGAAAAAAATTGTCGCGGACGTCATTACACAAACGTGGAATTGAGATTAAATCGACATGCTTCCAAAGATTTCTCAGAAATGGAAAGTTGGGCTCAATTCGAAATTATTCAGTATTTCACGAAAGCACTGTATAAAATGCCGAATCTATCCATTGATATGAGATAAATTTTTGACGAAAATGATTATTCAAGCATCATTAGGTTACATGTTTGGAAACACGTCATGGCATGTTTTTTGACGAAGTATCTATATTATGAATGAATGCGAAACATCGAGAAATATGAAAAAGAAAATAGGGCATCGCTATAATATTTATAAAGAAGATGAAGTCGGCCTGCTGAATCTGAATTTTTATTAGAATTTAAATTAAATGCGCATCATAACAGCTACCTGTCAAGATTCGGATGAATAATCCTCTCACTGGTGATAAAGCTTTTTTTATGTAAATAATGAGTCTATGCGTTGTTCAAAATTGTTGAATTTCAGAGCTCATTTTAAACATCAAATTATGTATGGGTTAAGTGGGTGGGGAGGAGCAAACCAATGTAACTTGAAAGTTCTGGAAAATACTCAAATATGGATACTGAAGGTGATTTATATCAGACATCACACTTACCCTACAAAATTGCTATACATCAAAGATAGTGAGATATTCAACTTAACACAATTGTTTTGCTTGAGTATTCTAAAGAACTATACTACTAAAGAATAACTACCAAACAAGAAGAGGAAGAAATAACTTTCCTCAACCAAGATCTAATAAAACCATTGGTCAAATATGCTACAAATATCTCGCCCCTCGAATAATCAATATACTACCACCTGAAAATAATTTAAAGAGATTTTTCTTGGTCATTCTCATCATGAATATTTTTTTCCGGAACCTGTGCGGCAAATAGTTTCCGAGATACAGCCGGCATCCTTTCTTAGTGGTACACCCGGTACATTATTTGTAGGAAATATTTTTTCAGTTGAATATTCAACAACAAACTTCCATTATTTTATTCTCTACTTCTGTTCAGTTCGACTAACCATAAAAGAGTGTTTTCTCAGTTTTTCAAACTACCTACTATTTATTTTCTTTTTTTTTTCAGTTCGGTATCTATCTCTTCAGTTTCCTTAACTACTATTTATTTTCTATTTCTTTTTAGTTTGGCTATCTATGAAAGCGTGTTCTATTAGTATTTCGAAACACCATTTACTTATCACAAAGTTAATCGTTAGACATATTGAATTCGCCATCCTGATTTTCTAATTATGACTGAGGAATCATAATCTGCGACAGCGCAAACCCTCAGATACCTATTTTAAATATGAATCGGATCATAATCAGAGATTCATCAAGTCAAGTAGCTTGATATTTTAACAAACTACTTGACTTGACTTGAAAATCAAGATCGTGGCAAATTACGTACTTGACTTGACTTGAATTTGAGATATTTATTACTTGACTTGAAATCAAGCTACTTGATAATACTTGATCTTGATACGCACGAGTCGCACGGCGTATATTTCTGCAAGCTCGCTCACGCTTAGACAAAATACGGGGGTTCCCCGAGATCCGAGCTGACTGAATCGATCGCGCAGTCAGTCTTACGATGCCATTTTCATTTCATCAGTTATATACAGGGTGACTCATGGTCGATGGTAGGTTAGACGTTCACGTTTATGATAGGAACGCAACGCAGGATTTTTCTGAAAATTTCGCATCTCACATTTCATCACCGGTACTATCGATCCAATATATTTTCAAAATCACGACGTTGCCGCTTCTATAGAAAAGTAGGAACCACTTTGTTATTTCGAATTGAACACCCTGTATTTTATTGCATTTTCAGATTCTCCTTGAAGAGTTGATTTCATCGATACATCACACTCGGGGTATAGCGGAAAAGATTATGGAGATATAGAGTGCGAAAAATCGAGACTTTTCAACTTCAGGAATTTTTTGTGCATGCAAAATTTTCAGAAAAATCCCGCGTCGCGTTCTCCATAAACGTCTAACCTATAACATCGACCGTGAGTCACGCTGTGTAGATACACAATAAAACTGCTGAAAATCAAGTAGCTTGATAGAACTACTTGATTTTTCAAGTACTTGATAAATAATTACTTGACTTGACTTGACATTAAAAAACTTTCGCTTGACTTGAACTTGACTTGATTTCAAGTCAAGTCAAGTCAAGTAGCTTGAATATCAAGTCAAGCCGTGAATCTCTGATCATAATCAATAAACTCGTATGCCGTATTGGATCTGCTATCTAGAATTACCAAAATTTCACGA